AAATATGTTTCGCGTGATCTCGTTATACAGCTATTTATGATTTATTATATGAAAGTATGCGTTGCTATTTGCTTGTTAACCGATCATCATTTCAGACTTGTTCTTGTTTATATAGCTGCTTGAGTATTTCAGAAGTAGGGAAAACTGTAATATAAATGTGTTTTGTTTGTATTTGCCTTTGAATAAATTTCGTTCTCATGAATTCACACCGTGTACCGCGTACCAATTGGTAGTCTTCAGTATAAGTAATTGATACGTTCATCACATGAAGAAAGGTAATTCATTCACGCACTCATGAAAATATAACATCGCAATCCAACGTTTCAATGTCACTAATAGCGTATATATATATATATGTTACATATCGTGAACATATTTCATAATCACATGCATAAAACAATCAGCGTCAATATTTAAATACATAAAGGTCACTTATTCGATTTTTTTTTCTACGAACATTGAATTTCAGGATATTTGTGGGCGTTAGAATATTTACATGATTAAAAAATCATCGACGGTCAACGAACCATCGAATCGGTCCCTCCTCTGTGTGTTATATATAATTATGGACCATTTTGAATGATTCGTCAGTTCGTGTGACCGCCGACCAATCATTTATTTGTGACGTGTTGTATCCACATATGTAATAATGTAATTTACTTTTAAATGAAAAAAAAAGAGGAATAAGATGGTGGGTCTTAGTTTCGAAGATTAATTTTGTTTAAATTTCTATTTCTTTTGAAATAACCGGGTCTTAAGTAAAGACTACGCTCTATACCCATGTTATTCCACAGGAATGAGATGGTGAGGTCTTAGTTTGAAGATTTTTTTTTTAAATAACCGAGTCTGAAGTAAAGACTACGCTCTAACCCCATGCTTTATTACCGGGTCTTAATTTGGAAGATGGAGGGGTCTTAGTTTAAAAGGTTTTTTTGTTGTTTTGTTTGTTTTTTTGTTTTTTTTAACTTTTGAATAACCGGGTCTGGAGGAAAGACTAAGCTCAATACTCATGTTCTTCCACAGGAATTAAAAAGTTTTGAAATAACCGGGTCTGGACGAAAAACTACGCTCTAAACCCATGCTTTATTACCGGGTCTTAATTTGGAAGATGGAGGGGTCTTAGTTTAAAAGTTTTTTGTTGTTGTTTTGTTTTGTTTTTTGAGTGTTTTTTAAAAAACTTTTGAATAACCGGGTCTGGAGGAAAGACTACGCTCAATACCCATGTTCTTCCACAGGAATAAGATGATGGGGTCTTAGTTTTGAAGATTTTTAAAAAGTTTTGAAATAACCGGGTCTGGAAGAAAAACTACGCTCTAAACCCATGCTTTATTACCGGGTCTTAGTTTGGAAGATGGTGGGGTCTTCGTTTAAAAGTCTCTTTTTTTTTCTTTTTTTTACTTTTGAAGAACCGGGTCTGGAGGAAAGACTATGCTCGATTCTCATGTTATTCCACAGGAAAAGGATTATGGGATCTTAGTTTTGAAGATTTTTTAAATTTTTGAAATAACCGGTCTGGCGTAAAGACTGCGCGCTTTACCCATGCTTTATTACAGGGTTTTACTTTTGAACAAATTTGACAAAATATCCCTTCAAATTTATTATATTTGTGGGTAAAGTCATTATTACATTTGTGGGTGATTCAAAGTTATTACATTTGTGGGTAAAGTGGTTATTACATTTGTGGGTGAAATTATTACATTTGTGGGTAAAGTTTTATTACATTTGTGGGTGTTATTACATTTGTGGGTAAAGTGTTATTACATTTGTGGGCGTTATTACATTTGTGGGCGTTATTACATTTGTGGATGTAACACCCCCCCCCCCCCCAAAGTCAGGGTCTCTTCATTTATTTTATGTAATACAATCTAAGACAACTAAATGTTTCCTGAAAGGTTCTAGACATAAAAAGAACCAGACTCCTTTTAAGGTTTTACAAGTATCAATACAAGATACCGAAACAATGCACAATGTTCCTAGTGGCACAATGGTTCTTCTACGAACCCCGGTACTTGGGGTTAGTGTTTCTTCGTGACCTATTGCTAAACAAAAAAGCTTTGGCATACATGCGCAAATGAATAAGGGCCGAAAGACTTGCATGTCGTCATGTCTTGTTTAGCCACAATTCTCTAATTCTTTAATTATTCATTCTTATTATCACAATAATACAAAGGCGACTTTAGATCCTCTTCATTGTTCTGGGCTGCCCAATGATATTGAGGAAAACTTCTGATGGATTCCCTCAAAAAACTTCTTTCAACGATTCAACTGAAATAACCTCTTGGGATTTGTAATGCGACACAAGGTTTGGAAGTATGGAACGCCACAAGGCTGATTATAGTTGGTCTTTTAAAACTGATTAATGAGGATATAAAAACTTCAAGACGGCTGCTGACATCATCTATATGTGTATCATTATCAATTAGGTTTAAACCATCAACTATGACAGCCCTCTTGGCGTTCCATATGGAACCATAGAAGGTTTAAGCTTGCAAGAATTTAAACTTGTAAGAGTATACAGATTGTCATCATTTCTCGTCTTCTATGCTGAATGCTGGGTCGTCGTGAAGGGTCTCAGATGTGGCTTCGCTCTTCTCTCCATCACTTAAATGAATATATACAATAAATGATATGGATTTACGTTGAAAATATGCGTAATTCAATATAAGAATAATGACGATTGGTTTAATCACGTCACATGTATTTTGTTTCAAATGTTGCATCGTAAATCCAAATTAAATACGAAATGTTTAAATGGCCACTATAACCAAAACGGGCTAAAAAATGAAAAAAAGACATGAAAAATAATTTTTTGACGGAGATTCCGAACATGACAATGATTGTTCTTAAAAATCATCAATAATTCTGGAATCTAGCTTTAAAAATGACGACTCAGAACGCTAAAAATAAGCTCAGTTTCGGAGCTGTATTGCGCAACTGTTTATGACGTCACTGCAGGAGCCTCTCCGGTGAAAAGGAGGGTGATTTAGGTATTAAGGTGTCTTTAAAAAAGGCAAACTATAATATAAATTGAGGAGAAAAAAAGACATTTTTCCAAGAAATAATATGCACTTGATAATCCAGTACGGTTCATTTATGAATTACAGTGAGATTTTTTAAAAGATCCTTACTTGTAGCAAGGTATACACCTCCCTGCTTGTAGGACAAATCGGACATGCCCGCAATGACGTCAAATGCGTCATTAAGCCACGTGACCGTATTACCCTTTTTCGAGGGGCGTAGCCAAGCAAGCGTGAAATTTGTGAAAAATGGATGGTTATCATCATTTTTGGGTCAATTTAGAGATTATCTGAAAAATCAGAGGCTGGAATATTAAGAAGTAGAGGTGTATTCATGTTTTAAAACGCTATGTTATAGAGAGGCCCTTTAAATATACACTGTTGGTCATAATGGTGGAATAATTATTTTTTCCCCAGTTTAGGGAAGGATTTTAAAAAATTATTTATTTCTAATAGATCTAGATAATGGCATTCATTCTCAGATTGTATTGAATATTAATTTGCGAGTGTTTGTTTTGCGTGACTGCTTAATCATATGTGTGCTACTATGCTAATCAGCTAAGGGACCTACGTCCTTAAGTCATAATTGACAGTAATGAGGATTAATGCCTCACAAAAGGGCACTAATATATAGCTGATCGACACGATTTTTATCCTGGGGCCTCACAGTAACGAGGCCATTGCTTAGCCCCTGAATCATGACTGTACGCAGTGTTTGCTAGGGTACGCGGCCCCTTCCACAAATCCCCCAAAATGAAGAAAATGCAATAAATTGTCAAAAATTCATTGCATTTTCCCCCGGCCCCCAACTGGAAAAATTCCTCTGTGTGGCCATGCCTTGAACCATAATCCATGGCCCTACAGAGGAAGTTTTTCTGTTGGGGGCCGGGGGGAAAATGCAATGAATTTTTGACAATTTATTGCATTTTCTTCGTTTTGGGGGATTTGTGGGGGCGGCCGCGTACCCTAGCAAACACTGCGTACAGTCATGATTCAGTGGCTAAGCAAAGGCCTCATTACTGTGAGGCCCCAGGATAAAAATCGTGTCGATCAGCTATATTAGTGCCCTTTTGTGAGGCATTAATCCTCATTACTGTCAATTATGATTTAAGGACGTAGCTTCCCTAGCTGATTAGCATAGTAGCACACATATGATTTAGCAGTCACGCAAAACAAACACTCGCAAATTAATATTCAATAAAATCTGAGAATGAATGCCATTATCTAGATCTATTAGAAATAAATATTTTTTTAAAATCCTTCCCTAAACTGGGGTAAAAATAATTATTCCACCATTATGACCAACAGTGTACATTTAGAAACAGTTATTTTTTGTTTACAGTCAGTCGACATTCAATCCTATTCAAACTTTCTTTCACTCACTAATCTTTATTATATACCTCACTTAAGTAATCCAGCAATCTGATTGGTCGAAATTGCATTCATAAACTTTAACTGTTCCCAAAAATTCCCGGTAACCATGGTTAAAAAACAGTTCAAAATCCCAATAACCATGGTTACCGGGAAAATAGTTCAGTCTCCATGGTTACCCCATAGGTTTACATGTTAAAAAATAGTCTGAGCGATCGAGGATACCTTACGAGTGCGAAGAATTGGTCGGTAATTTCAATACAATTGAATCTCGATCGATCTTACCGACAATTTTATCTTGCATTGTTGACATGAAGATGAAAAAAAACTTCCAAAAACAAAAAAAACAACATCTGCCGATAGATCTTGATCTAAGTTAATGACTGCTTTAATATTCGAGAAAAAGTTGTTTTTATACGCTCTCGGGAAGGTTACAATTGGGCTATTGCCCTCGGCACGCCTCGGGTAATAGCACAATTCTAACCTTCCCTTGAGCGTGTAAAAACAACTATTTCTCTCAAAGCAGTCATTAATACTATAGTATTATCCAATATACAAATTCTATATTACATAGAATTTGTATGTGTTTGTACAATAAGGCCGGGGAGATAATTACTTCATACCAAACTGTTCTCCTTCTTCCAGCGTCTCTGGGAGTTTCTTTCCTCGAGTCTCTGGCAAGGCAAGAGCAGACAGTGAAGCGATGACGGATAGCGAACCGTAGATGACAATAGGAAGTGGGTCCCAATATTTTGCGAGGATGAGGACAAGAGGTGCTGATATGGTCGCTACCCGGGAGAACATAGAGCAGCTGCCCATGGCAATGCCCCTTTATAGGAGAAAGGATTAAGAGAGAAAAGACGATAGGGGTACATGAACAATGCGTTTATTTCATTTTTCTACAATACGAATGGTCAATTAAAAAGATAAAAAAGCCAGGAATTTTTACAATTCAGAATTCTTCCAATGATAATTTTTTTTTTTTTTAAATATTTACAGTCCATCCTTTTTGGATGTTAGTTCACAATTATGCCTGTATTTCAGTCATGGGCATGAGGCATTGCTTTTCAGTAATTTTTGTTCAATACTTGATTTAATTAAACACAATACAGTTTAAACTATATGCAATGAACAACATCTATAATAAATAATCTGCACATTACAGGTAAACTGAGGAATATTCTACAATCCTTTGATTATTGGTTACCTTATATTTGTTGGGTAAAGCTCCACGGTGTAGAGAAATATGATTGCAAACGCGCCGGAGATCCCGAACTTTCCTATCATAGCAACAGTTGTCAGGGCAACGCCGGTGGCTACATATGGTAAGAGTGGGTTATGTTAACATGAAATCATTGATAATATATATAAGGTTAATTTCTTACCTAACATTTAGTTTATACAGAACTATTAAAGATTTATATATATGCAAGGTGAATTCAGGGCCCCGCATTATAATGAGTTGCAATCACATGTATTTAAGTTAAATGCAACCATGCAATATTGTCTATCTCTCGTCAACATTACATAACATGTTAAGAACTTCCTTTGTTCTGGGACCCGTGTCATATAGAGATGCGATTAATATCAAAGAAGATACATGTTAAAACGATACTGAATTGATGAACTTTCTGCTCTAGTGTACTGTTTACCGGAAAATGCACAGCGCCATGATCAATTTGCCAACGGTGCTTGCCACTATGAATTAAAGTAGTTTTTAAAAGGTTATATGATTTTGGGTTAGTTTGTGTGGTTAGGCAATGGTTCTTGACAAGCCTTTCGTCATATTTACTTTCTAATTGGGCATGGGATCGGATACCCTGATTAGCACGAATATTAATTTTGTTAGGGGTCCACATGTAGTTCAATGGCCTATCAAAGAAAGAAAAAAAAAGCAACTTACGAATAAATGCAGTTGACAGGCAAGCTACCCCACCCAGCATCAAACAGAAGAAAAGACTTAACCTCCGGCCAAAGAACTCTACGATGAAAATATCCATGATGTAGGCCGGGATCTCGATACCACCCGTAATGGCAAAAGCGACGTAGTTGTTGGTGCCAAGATTTGAGCTATTCAAAGACAGGCCGTGATACACCATGCCGGTCACCATCCTAACAAAGAGGAGACAATGAAAGACAGAGGATGGGATGGAAGAGGAGACAATTTAAATCGCATTTTAGGTAAACGAATAATAATGATGATGATAATGATAATGCTAAAGATAAAATAATAATAATAATAATAAATAATAATAATACTAATGATAATAATTATGATACAATAATAATGATAATAATAATGATAATGGTAATAATAATAATGAAAATGATAATAATGATAATAATAGTAATAATAATAATAATAATAATAATAATAATAATAATAATAATAATTTTGACTTTTAACTTGCGAATATGACGGATCTTTGAGCATTTGGGTTTTTTCTGCTGTATCCTGTTTAAGCTCCGGAATATATTACAAAATATAGTTCATTTGGAAAAGAAATATCACTGTTTTCCGATGTTCCTTTAAATATTTACGTAAAATGTTAAAAAGTTCACAAGTATAAATCGTTAAAATCGGGTGAGCTTGACGTCCCTTGTTACGGTCTGAAGAGTAATTAGGCCTACCATATAAAGACAAGGTTGATGGTTCGCATTCTCATCCTGGGTGTGCGGATCAAATCGAGACCTGTGGGTCTATGTTCCTTGCGGATTCGTTCCTGGGGTAGTGAGATAGATAAGAACAAAATCCCGGGAAAAAAGGGAGAGAAATGGAATGAGGAGTGGGTGGGAAAAAAAAAGAGGTAGGGATTTTATGACATGATCTATTAAATGAAACATTGGCCAAAAAGTATTTCATGTTGGTCAATCTCAAATTAACAATTAAAAAACAAAAAACATGATATGTTTATTTGACCAGAATCACGTTCGACATAATATGCAGCGTTAAAGATATATTGAAATGACCGAATATATTTATGCAGCCCTTCGAAATTGATTTACTATTCGATCGCAAATTTTTAAAACTTAATAGAAATAACCTCAGGCTGTACTGTTCCTACTTACGCTATTATTTTCCACTTTCCATGTTCGATTGACATCATTCGGTTCGAATTACATAATGATAATTGAAATTGTTCAAAAGTGTGAAATGTGATGTGAACAAAAATAAGCAACAACTCATGAGAATCTGCTTGTCATGCTCGATTTGGTATTATTGACTGAATCTAACAATTGAAAATTGATAATGGCAAAAATGTTAGTAATTAAAGGGCTTTGTTTTTGTTTACCTGCTCTTCCATGAATTCTTTGGTAAACAGGGGCTTCTGCAGTTCGACCTTGTTAACTTCGGCTACCTTTGTAATAACTTTTTCAGCCTTGTCGTATTTCCCAACGGAGATAAGCCATCTTGCAGACTCAGGTAGCCAGCTTCAAGAGTTGATGATACGTTGAGAAAAAGGATATTTTGAGGAAATAGAGATCTGATGTGAGTTTAATTTCCAGCAATTTTGTTGCAAAATTCAGGCAGAGGAAAGAGTATGTAACTTCAAAACCTGTTCCGTTCGATTTTTTTTTTTTTTTTTGCTATGTCATTTTCGTTTTTTTTTCTCGTTTTTTTCGTTTTTTTTTTTTTTGGGGGGGGGGGGGGGATTTCCCTATGCTACAGGTAATTATGATATCGTTTTATGAACAATACATGTTTTTAGTAACCACAATACGAGAAACATAATATCATTTCTTTTGTAAAAGGTTATATTGACAAAACATTTCAATCAGTGGTGAATTTAAAGGTAATACAAAGTTTTGGGAAATTTTGAAAATTGGGTTGATAGTATATTTTTACAATTTTGATATATTTGGATGCCCCTGTAGATGATTTATAAGCATTAAAAAAAAATTAGCCCCTGAAACACTTCTGATTTCGAGAAAAATTGAATATACAAATTTACCGGTGCTCCCGGTAAATTTTAATAAATATCAAATAGCGCCTATGGCCGTACAATGGTAGCTGCGGCCAGGAAAATCTCGGAATATGTAGTTGTGATATATAATTTCCAAACGGGAATAGCTAATCGGTCGATTTTAGTCAAGAATCATTGTTTCTTAGCTAAATTAATATCATGACCTTGAGAGGGAGCTATACAACGTAAAGAGTTTATTATTTATAATTTCATCACTTTAGACTCGATTTCAACCGCGACAACGATCAATGAATATTGTAAGAACGCATATGCTTCCAATATGTTAATTTGAACCAAATTCATCACCCCATACCAAAACTTTGTAATACCTTTAAAAAGAAATATATGGAGAAATGGGAAACGAGTTGCACTTCATTGTAGAGGAAGCAAAATGTATCTTTGCAGCCCCGAGTACTATACAATTGATGTGGTGTATTCATTTATTTATTTATTTATCTATTTATTTATTCATTCGTGTTTTCTTTAAATGTAAAAATAGGTTGGTCTCATTCAGACGCCCGGAGTGTCTTTCTTTCAAGGGAACCCTGTTGTAAATAAATGTTATATATCTTTTAAAAATGTTGTCTTGGTCATTATCAAACTAAGTATCAACATTGCTAATACTTTATCGATACACACAGCAATGTAAGAAGAAGGTACAACAAAAAATTGGTTCTTACATGAAAAATATGAATAGAGACAATAGAGGCAGCGTCATGGTTAGCGTTAGAAGACGCCAGGAGCGGATGTAATAGGCCGGTAGAGCGAGAAACATGTAGCCGACAGCGTAGCTGATTGTGATAAGAATCACCAAGGATCGTTTTGATGGCCCAATGTACTCCGTCCCTGTTGGACCCAAAGTAAAAGGAACATGAAATGAATATATCGATAAATGTCCTCTTATTGGCCGTATGGTCAATGTTTATGTTCATATTTACGATTTATCGACTCGATCAGTACTCATATTGTGGGTAAAGAAGATGAATAACGAAATGGTTTAATGAAGAAATAAAACACATGGAAGATGAATGCTAAACATGCCTGCTTTACAGCTCGGTCACAGGTCAGCTGAACATAAATATGCAAGGTCAAATTATGAATTGGAAAACAAATAGATGGTCATTTTTTGGCCAGTGAACGAAACAATTGATGCATATCAAAATTTGCGGATCGCAAACTCGCTCATTTGCCGGGGAGTTATTCACATGGAGGTCAAATGTTTTGACCTAAGAGAGAAGGCTGATTTTGGGTCTCATTGCGTATTTTATTGGGTTTTTAAAGACTAGTATATTATTAGTCAGATAATGGATCATCAATGCCTATATTCGAAACCCATAAAGCACTGATAATTTATAATTCACACGGCATGGCACCTATAGTGGCATGACAATCTGCTCACCTATAACATACAAGGTTAGCTTGAAAGGAATGTTTCCAAAACCCATGAAGAAACGCATAGTGGCAAAGAACCACCAGTTGGGTGAAAAGACAATCACAACTCCAGAAACAAGCGATACGAGGTTAGTAAGCAGGAGAGTCCACCAGCGTCCAATCCTGCAGTAAAAGTAAAAAATCACGACATAATCATTACTGTCGGTGACACGACATTTGCTCCTGCGACAATTGCTCCGGGCTTTATTTCGTCTAAGATGTAGGGTTAGGGTTAGGGTTTCAATAGGGTTTTATGTTAGGTTTAGGGTTAGGTTTAGGGTAGGGTATAGTGTTGAATCCAGGGTTGAAGTTAGCCATTCGATTAGTGTATGAAATTTACAGCGGAGCAATTGTCGCCGGAGCAAATGTCATGGAATCATTACTGTCAATGCGGTCTATAAACAACATTCAAAGTAATATATTCAGCTACTACGAATTCCATCCAGTACGTATTAACGACTATTCCACGATTACTATGCGACTCTTCCACGAGTACTTTACGCTTTTTTGGATAAAAGTACCCAACTAACAATAACTAGACTTGAATGTGTCACCTGACAAATTAGGTGATGCGTATTCCAATTTACACAATGAAGAACGCATTTTCACGATTTCGTCTCATTTAATGAAATCGAAATATAATATAATTGAAGAAGATAAGCCTGAATAATGAAAAATGAATAGTGTTTGACGTCACGATGTCCCAGCGTTGCTGAATGTGGGAATATGTGGGAATACATTAGCGATCATTTTTAGTTGTCGACGTGAGATTCACTAGTGGCTTGATAATACAATCTTTAAAAAATGGGATGGATCAATTACTGGAACTTTCTTAGGAATGTGGATTAAACCAGAGTTGAATTAACAGGAACGAATGTAGGAGAGAGAAAGAATGAGAGGCAGGTAGTGTTGAAAAACGTTGTAAAGTACTACATATAGCCGGAGATAGCTGAAGATAATATTCGGGAAGGAAAGGAGTTGAGGTATCATGGAAGGTTTACAAAAAATGAAGTTTGATTTCGATTTGGACTCGTCGTCTTTGACCACAAACTTCGTCATTACCCCGTCATCAAAATAAAAGATAAAAGTAACTTGAAATCTAAAGCATAACCCCAGCTACAACATATTCAAATTTGGGAGAAATTCGAATAAAGATAAACGATATATGGCTGAAAATGCATTGTCATTGATTGCGTAATTTTCTTTTTTTTTAATACTTTAACGAGCAATATAATGATCTCGGAAAATCCGATTACTAGCCAAAAAGATGTCTGAAATCATATTTACAACTCATACTTTATCCACATATAATTTTTTGGGGTGGATTCCGTGCATTTAGAGAAGTTATGGCCAATTAAAAATCATATGGAAAAGTGGTGTCTTTTGGCGAGTCTCGAACGCATGCTCGCGCGCATGTATTATAACCAATGGGCACAGGCTTCAAAAAGCGTTCTTATGTCAAAGATATTGGTGTAACTTTGCAATGCTGCAAAATGTATTTTCCAGATATGAGAAAATTATTTTAAGTATTTGCGTCGGAGAAGTCCTCGAAATAAAGATTTTCAAGTGAATTTTGACACCAACCCTTCCATAGCAATGCACGTACTTGCACAACTCGAAGCAGGAAACATACTCGATAACCCCGTGTTTGAGACTCTGTATCCCAGCAACTGATTACCCTACGCATACAGCGTTTTCACTTTCCAGTGCGGTATTTATCCCTCTCTGTCATATATAAAAATCAAGCTGAGTGGTCTAGAAAATTCGTTGGAATCCTTGAAAAAGTAAGAAGATTTTTGTTTCTATCCAATCACATTTGGCGACACTCCGAGCTCATAAGCATAGAGAGTCATGACGTCATATCACGCCATGACTCGCCTTTGCGTGGCTGTGTGTGTAGGGTCATGAATTATTCATGAGACATACCTGTGCGCGCTGAACAAAGATAGACATGCACAGATCCACTTTAGTAGAATTTCGGCCTGAAACTTTTTCATATGGGCATATGTTAACAATTTTTTGCAAATGTTCGCGCCTGCGTGTTGTTATCTTTAACGCGCGCGTGTTCCATCATTATGCGTAAAAATGACTGAAATTTAAAGGGAATGTTTATAAAAGTATCAGGAATCAAAAAGATGCAGAAAACTTAATTTGTCCGATCGCGTGCGTTTTGCGCAAAGATACGCGCGCACCGACCCGTACGCGCGGACATTTTTTAAACGCTGTAATTGTCTGAAACGGTTACAAGAGTGCGCATGCGCTGACATGGGCGCCATTTTAATTTACGGGTTAACAAAAAGTTGTTTACCCGTGAATTTAGATGGCGCTAATGCAAATATGATGTCAGCGAACAGCGCCGGTAGTGACGAAACAATACATGCGCATCTGAAAACATTGATGACGCAATGCTTACGCGCATATTAAAATGGCGGCCCTAACCGTAAAAGGGTGTATACACATTCATCTCAAACTTGGTTTAAAACGAGCTGATGAGGCTTGCCTGGGTAGAAAGTACTTTTCTTCTATCAAAACGTTTTCATTTCAAAATTATTACTTACACGTCCGACAGGATACCGAAGAAGATAGATCCTGCTAAAGTTCCACCGTAGTATATAGACTGAGATACTTGGGTAAGGTCACCATTACCACATACAAGATCAAACTGTATGGAACAAAGAAGAAGAGAGAGGGAGAGAGAGAGAGAGAGAGAAGGAAAACAAATAAAACGAAAGAAAACAAGCCGACAGATAGGAAGAGGGGAATATAAGAGCAGAAAGTAATAATATCATTAATACAAAATAATAATTATGAGCATGATAATATCAAAGATAATTATAGTAATGATAAAATCATCAACAATAGTGATATTGATATTTTAATATATTATGCCTCTAATAATACTAGAACTAAGATTGTTAGATAAGTAGTGCATGGATTACATTTCGCCTGCGATTAGTTTACGGGGCCTGCACGGAGGCTGCACGGTCACCGCGCCTTCTTAGCGCAACCTCTGCACGGAAGCTGCACGAGCTACGTACGATTTCCGTGCGGAGGTTGCAGAGACTGCACGGGTATTGCACTGAAATTGCACGATTTCCGTACAATCTCCGAGCAGCATCTCTAGGGATGTGTCCCGGTCTGCCCCCGAGGGCCAATACAAGAAATGGCACGATGCTCGTAGATAATGTAAACACAAACATCGTAGCCCGTAGCCTCCTACGATGCCCCCAAAATAACACGACAATTCGTAGACCAATTTATCGTGCGGCGCCCGGGCCAAATGTAATCCAGGCATACGATGACACCCAAGCTTGTGTGCCTGGGTACAAATGTGTGTGTGTGTACGTGTGCGTGTTGCGGGGGAGCAAAAGGTCAGGGTTAGGCAATGGTCTAGTCTTGGAAAACACTTATAATCCAAAAATGTATATATATACTTTTATCGGACCTTTTATGGTTAACACATAGCAGAGATATTTGCGTATCCCGCTAGCCTATAATCTAGGCGGAGTGCCGAGCTTTTTTCTTTGCTGCTAGACTAACCTTAAGCAGAACGTCTGATACGGCGAGACTACGAACCGTGAGTCGCGATGCGCCGCTCGCGGCTCACGGTTCGTAGTCTCGCCGTATCAGACGTTCTGCTTAAGGTTAGTCTAGCAGCAAAGAAAAAAGCTCGGCACTCCGCCTAGATTATAGGCTAGTATCCCGCTGGTTGAAGGACGCAATCCTGTAATCTATAATACTCGTGATCATCACCCGGAGATTATTGTAACATATGAGAGTATTATTCATTTATTTTTCAATTTGATTAATGTATTGAAATATTCATGAAAGGTGTGTATGAGGGAGAGATTATGTACAGTCTAACTGTACTGTATAATGTAAGATCTTACATCCGATACTGTAGTCGTGTTGTATTGGCTGTCATCGTACACCCATCCACTGTCACATGACATCGTTCCGCTGCTGTAATTGGATGGATCAATCCCAGGCCAGAATCCCACTCCTGACACGTTATATTTCTCACATTGTGCGTACTCCAGCTCCCCATCTGACGTGTAGTTTGATGGGATACTACCTTCCTTCTGGGCTAGTTCACAAGCTTCCTCTGACAACCCATATTGCTTACACCTAGGACCCCAATCGGGGGTCTAGAAATATACATATTTTTTTCAAAAAACAAAGTAGTATATACATATATATATATATATAATTTTGTAAAGCCCCTCTAAAGTTTGTGTTGGGAGCCCCAACGATTTGATAGCAAAATTTACTTAAATCAATTATGACACATTTCCGCAAGGATAAAAAAAAAAAATGTGTTTGAAGTCGAATATTGATGAAAGAATAAAAATTTGTGTCTATTGCGTACAACAGAAAACCCAAATTATGTATTCTGGTATCAATATTTGTCTTCAAACACATTTTTGGGGCTGTAATCTTTGCAGAGGTGTGTCTTTAATGAAATCCTCTTTCATATTATGGTACAATCTAAGTGAAATGTTGCCTTCTTGGCGAATTTGGGGCTCCCAACACTTTATAGGGGCTTTACAAAATGATTTAAATCGTATTAAAGTCAATAAACGTGCTTTACACTATGCAAAAAGAAATTCATCCTGCTTGTGAATGCATTTTCCTTATTCTTTTTTAATAATGCCGTAATTGCAGGGATATGCCTTAACATGCCTTTAGATCGTATGAATTGTGATGGTTTGAAGTCATTTGGTTAGATGTCATTTAGTTAATTACGTATATTTTATTTTGTCCTACGTACCGCAGCACCCGGTTTAAAAACAGGCCTTTACATTATGTGTTACAATGGATCGTACGTATGGTTCAGAACCAATCCAAGTCCATTTTTGCCTATTCTTTTTTCTACACCCGGTATATTCAGTAGGCACGAGGTCCAAATATTTGTAGAATCATCATTAAATCTGACCTATTAAGATTGTCAGCAAATATTGATGACCTTTGGTCCAATAGTTTTGGTCTCTGATCGTTTGGCCATGATACGTTTTGGCTACCGTGACCATAAATGGTTTACACCTGCTACGTAGAATGCCCATTCAGTTCTGGCATGATTTGGTTCATATTTCATTTTTTTTTTACATTTCGCCTCAGCTTAATTTATTTCATCTAGTAATATATCACAAGAATAATGGACCAAATGAAAATCGAAGTAATACCTGAAATGAACATTAGACGAAACACTATAGACCAAAATTAAAGACTGTTAGACTAATCGTTCAGTATATGATACAAATAGTCTGACTGTTATTGGTTGAAATGATGAGTAGTCCTTTTCAGTTCTAGCATTTACAGTAATGACTAGAATGGGAGATAAGAGACGAATTTCACCGGGCTTAAAAGAAATGGCTGACCGTCAGTTTTATTCAGAAAACCAATGATCAATTGCCCAATTGACAAATGGTCAACAGTAGTTGCTAAATAGGCACACTTGGTAACAAACTATTTAGTTCAAACAAGTCTTTTTTTATTCAATAAATAAAAGTACTTAAAATTGTCATTTTATTTTGGCCACTCTTTATAGTATTCGGCTCTGATGTTTCAACATTTGATTGCAAATAATGTACTATGAATATATGCCATTTATAGTTAACAACTAAATTATTCATACCCTTACCAGGTTTTGTAATTGTTTAAATACGTTAACAAGTGATTTGTCCCGATTTGTGTTTCCTGACAAGGTGACATATAAAACCTTATATTTAAAAGTATTCAATAAAGAACCTGATTTAGCCAGTCCATTTTAATTTTTGAGTTACGAAGAAACACAAAATTCACATTTACAAAGGGTATGAATAATTTAGTTTTTAATCCCTGTATCGTAACCACGATAGAAGCCATAAATGGAGATTGTTTTGGTCAATTGTTGGGCTCATTTCTGGCTCAAATGGCATTTTGTACTTGTGTTAGACTATTACAGAATGATTGATTTTGCCCGTTGGACAGTATCGTTGTTCGTGTTTCTGAATGTTCTTACCGCACACCAGTGGTCGACGGGGGCATTGATGAAGACCGATATCATTGTGCCCCATGAAACGGTGAACTTAAATATCAACGAGATCCAGTAGACACGGCGTTGAAACGGCCCAAACTCACCAACATTCTTTAAAATGTCGTCAAAATTCATATTTGTTAAAACACCAAGCACAAGAACGGCGAAGAACGTTTAATTTTACGAAAGCTTAAGTAGAAGAATATTTCCCTCTCTAAGCGAATGTCAGTACGTTTTAGAGCTAGTAGTTGAACTTTTTTCGATCTATTCTTCTCTTATTTACTTTACTATTCTTATCACCCTATCTTCTTATCTCACACAGTGTTGAATCCCCCCCCCCCCCCCCCCCACTCAGTGTTATTTAGGGTACGCGTATGGTCGTTCCCTCTTTTTGAAAGCACCCCCTATCTGAGGACTGCCAACATTTCCGAACCCCCCTTTCGCGGGCTTTTCACGTGCTTTTCCCGCCTTGGAGACCCCCCTAAATACGGAAAAATGTTCAATGTACCCCCTTAAATTCGGAATAATTTCTCAGGAGTCCAAAGAAATGAGAGGGGAAAAAAAGAAAAACACCCCCTTTTTAAAGAAATCTCCGGGTGAAAAGTCAAATACACCCTTTTTTTTTTTTTTTACAATTCTCGGGCCGGACTTTGTCGCAGGAAAAGTACCTCTTTACCGGACATTTTGGTAACACGCATGCGGTTATTCCGACCCCGGAGTGGGGGGGGGGGGGGGGACGGGTGTTGAATATGTAATTCCTTAGGTTTTGACCTCAAACATATCAGAAGTTCTGAATGATGTAAGGATGCATCTTTTCTCTCAATCAGAAGCTGATATTTAGATATTCATTTATTTATTGTGTGTGTGTGTGTGTGTGTTTTAATATATGTGGAATGATTAAATTTGTTAGGGATATTATGTCGATCTGCAAAGACCGAATTAATACCCAAATCTCAATTGTTTTTATTCAAACATAACATAGGCATCACTTTGGCGCAAGTCGATTTTTGCACTCTGTTAAGCAATGTTTCCTGTTCATCCAAGCGTGATCACATACCAACACAAAATGATACCAAATGATTTGGGATAAAACATTCTTTCATAAGAAAATAATTAACTGTTCATGAATGATTTTTAAAATAGTTAGCAATTTGCTAGGTGTAACTTTTTTTAACTCACACTTTATTAAACACGTACAAGTAAAAACCATACCAAACCAAACCATAACAATATCCATAATAGAAATAAAGGACAAAAGGGGGGAAAATAAAATAAAAAGATGCTCTACTACGCTTCGCGGTAGACCACCTAGTCAAAGTTCCCTTTACATTAATTATTATACCTTGTGTTGAAAGATGATAACAGAGACATACTTCTGCATAACCCTGGCCGAGCCGGCGTACTCCCCACCTATGTGTCCACATTTATAGGCCCCTAAATTTAAATTCCAAAAAAGAAAAAGAAACACTCACCCCTTTGAAAGTTAAGTAGCAGGGAGTGCATCACAAGTTTATCAAAGCAAAACAAGAAAGAAGAAAGAAACCCCTCAAAATAAGTTTTGAAACTCTGGTTGGATCGATGATACCTCTCTCATTATGGCAGAACCATCGCTTTGATGATTTATTTCCATCTATGCTAGAGGTTTGGAAACATATATATAACACACTACAGATAGATATTAGGACTTTGTGAAAAGTGACTTTCATATATTTTATATGTTCCCCTTGCTAACAAAAATACAAATTACTCTGGCCCCATCAGGGATTCACTCTTGATAATAATATTTTGCGTCATCATACATAATGCCTAATTCAATTCTGTATTAAAACGAAACGAAGGTTAAGATTTATATTATGTATAGTGTGTATTTAATTTACCTGTTTAAACGCCTTTTTTTGTCTTCTTTGAACGCGAAACATAGAAATGTTAAATTTGCGAGCTCTCTCTCTATCTCTCTCTCTCTCACATAACCACCCGTTTCCCTACGATCTTCAGGGCACATAACGCCATCCCACTATCACACCCACGATCTCTTTGCCCGAACATCGTTAACAAATGGGCCTATCCTGATCGGACATTTTATCATATAAATCTTTCTGTACTTGATGTTCAAGCTGAGAAGAAAACGTTTTAATTCCTTGACAACAGATATTTCACCCTTTTACAAATATATACAAGCACATAAAATGCTCAAAAGATATAAAATATTCAATCATGAATAACTCACATATATAAAAATCGATCATGTACCAGATTCCACACAAAGTGATATAAATATTGTTACACAAAATGTATTTAAGAAACACCCGCAAACGTATTTATTGAGAGCAACCATTTCGTTGTTGAATAATGAATATCATTCAAATATTTAAATATAATAATAATAATAATAATAATGATGATATTGACTTATTAAAGGTTTCTTTGTCGGTATTCATACCATTCTCCCTGAGGGCCCTGTAATCATATCATAATACCCTGAAAAGCTACCATGAAAAGGTGCTCAAGCGTTTAAGGAATTTCTTTCTACAGGGTAATGCAATGTGCAGGGAAATGTGTGATCTTCTCGACCTCTTGATTTGGATGATGGACAATCAATGCAACGAGTTATAATGATGACTAACATCCGCAACGAAATACAGCCTTCTCTTTTTCAAATTATTGTTGTTCATTTAAGTATCCCTATCGTTTTGTTTGTTGTAATTTTTGTAATGTGCCCCTCAAAATCGATATAAAATAAACTTCATGACAGCTGCCGCCACACCGTAGATTTGAATTAGGTTTAATCCATCAACTATAACGACCCACTTGGCGTTCCATAACTATGGAACCATTGAAGGTTTAAACATGCAAGAATTTTAACTTGTAAGAGTATACATATTGTCATCATTTCTCGTCTTCCATGCTGAATGCTGGGTTGTCGTGAACGGTTTCAGATGTGGTTTCGCCCTTCTCTCCATCACTTAAATGAATAGACACAAGAAATGATACGGATTTACGTTGAAAATAAGCGTACTTCATTAAAGGAATAATAACGACTGAAGTCAATCCAGTCACAGGTTTTTTTGTTTCATATGTTACATCGTAAATCCAAATAAAGTACGGGATGTTTAAATATAATTTTTTTAGAAACAGTTCTTTTTTTGTTTATAGTCAGTAGACGTTCAACCCTATTGGGAAGCTTTCCTGTCAGCTTATTCAGAAGTATGTCGTAGCTAGCGCTGTTGCTGATGAATGACATAGTATATAGGTTTACACATTTGCATTTTATGATTTCGTTGGTATCAAACAATAACTATGACACCGATGAATTCATTAATATTATCGAGGACGTAAGCAGTCGAAAATCAATCTAACAGTAATAGGCAGTATATAGAAATAACTGCAACATTATACCAAGCATGGAGAAATTTGCTTTGGCTTAGACTAAAAAGACTCCTTTTTTATGAGCAGAGAGGGACTTTAAGATTTGTTTTCACTCATTAATCTGTATTATTATCCAATTTGCAAATTTTTATATATAGCATTTTAATGTGTTTGTAAAATAAGGGAAATAATTTACTTCAAACCAAACTGTTCTCCTTCTTCCAGCGTCTCTGGGAGTTTCTTGCCTCGAGTCTCGGGCAATGCAAGAGCAGACAGTGAAGCGATGACGGATAGCGAACCGTAGATAACAAGAGGAAGTGGATCCCAATATTTTGCGAGGATGAGGACAAGAGGTGCTGATATGGTCGCTACCCGGGAAAACATAGAGCAGTTGCCCATGGCAACGCCCCTTTATAGGAGAAATGATTAAACATAAAAGACGATAGGGATACATGAATAAAACATGATACATTTTTTCTACAATTCGGATGGTCAATTGAAATGATCAATTTGACAGGAATTTCGACAACTCAAACTTCATGCAATAATTTTTTTAAATATATTTATAGTCCATCCTTTTTGGATGTTCGTCTAAAATTATGTCTGTATTTCAGTCATAGGCATAAAGCATTGCTATCCAGTAATTTTGGTTCAATACATGATTTAATTAAATACAGTACAGTTGAAACTATATGTGATGAACACCATCTATAATAAATAATCTGCATATTACTCGTAAACTGAGGTATATTCTACAAACCTTTGATTCTTGGTTACCTTATATTTGTTGGATAAAGCTCCACGGTGTAGAGATATATGATTGCAAACGAGCCTGCGATCCCGAACTTCCCTATCATAGAAACAGTTGTCAGGGCAACGCCGGTGGCTACAATGATATTCAGACAGTACTATTATGGTAAGAGTAGGTTATGAAAACATGAAATCATCGAAAGCAGATATAATATTAATTTCTTACATAACATTTCGTGTATACAGAACTATTAAAGGTTTATATAATTAAGCAAGGTGAATTTACGGCCCCGCATTATAATGAGTTGCAATCGCATGAATCTAAGTTAAATGCAACCATACAATAAAATTGTCTATCTGTCGTAAACATGATTTAACATGTTAAGTGCTACCTTTATTTGTTCTAGGACCCGTCTCATAAAGAGATGAGATTAATATCAAAGGAGATACAAAACAATGATGAACTTTCTACCAAAACGTACCGTTTATTGCATAATGCACAGCGCCATCTTACGGTCAACTTGCCGTCAGTGCTTGCTCCAATGAATTACAGTAGTTGTAAACGGTTATATAATTTTGGCTTAATTCGTGTTTGGACAATGGCTCTTGAAAAGCATTTTGTCATATGTATTGTATTTATATTATTATGGGTTTGCACACCCTGATTAGCACGAATATTTTTTTTCTCAGGGGTCCACATGTAGTTTAATGGCCTATTGAAGAACAAAAAAGCAACTTACGTATAAATGCAGTTGACAAGCAAGCTACCCCACCTAGCATCAAACAGAAGAAAAGACTCAACCTCCGGCCAAAGAACTCTACGATGAAAATATCCATGATGTAGGCCGGGATCTCGATACCACCCGTAATGGCAAAAGCGACGTAATCGTTGGTGCCGAGATTTGAGCTATTCAAAGACAGGCCGTGATACACCATGGAGTTCACCATCCTAACAAAGAGGAGACCATGAAAGACATAGGATGGGATGGGAGATGGGAGAGGGGAGAGGGTGAGAGAGGTATCACGAGGTACACATGTTTTTAAAAATCAATGTCCGCATTCTTCGACAATTTAAATCCTATATTAGGTAAACGAATAATAATGATAATAATAATGATAATAATTATATAATTGTGATGATAATAATACTAATGATCATGATAATTTAATAATACTTGACATTTATATTGCGGATCTTAACGGCACTTTATTGTTTTTTCTGCTTTTATCATGTTTATGTAAGCTTGGTATTATTAGTTTGACCAGGGAGGTGAAAGAAAGGAGTCGAAACTTGTGATTTATTCAAACGCATTCATGAGTTCTAAAGCGTAACAATGGGATGTGTAATATTCCACTTGGCTTTGAAGTTCCACGCTCCGAGCCGCGCTTCCACTGCGGGGATTTTCGGAGGCCAGGCATGAGTTTCACATTTATTACAAAATATTAAATTACCGGCAAAATTTCAGTGTAAATTATAAACTTTATATGGGGATTGTATCGATATAGTGCATCAAACAATTGTTCATATTTAGGACTCCGCCCTTCCTATAATTTGTGTGCCAGAGTTGGTAAAAGAAAAAAATTAGATCCTGAAAAGAAAACAAAATATTTTAGGATAATTTTAGGATAATAGGATGTTTTAACTCATAGCATGCCATGAGACTGCATGCACGCTACTGTTATAGTGCTTTTAACATGCAAGCTAATCATTGATACACTGCCATGTGCGTGCAAGGGCGCATTCGTAATAGCAGTTATTGTTCATGCTTATTGGACTGTGCTGTGTGTTTCGCACGCGCTATTCAAAGAACCATCGCGTTAATCAGATTATCTCCGAAACAACCTGGCATTTGGGGGTTTGAGACTTGGCACAATGGGCATTAGCCCTGTGGCATGATAAGAGAACGTCACGTTATGTAATCCATGATTTACAATCTTCGATAACTTTAAGTTTGCTAATGTGTGATTTCGCGTGTTTTTTCTATTTTTGCAGTTGGATGCAAAGGGATGATATTACACAGGTTTGTGTTTGCTTGTTATACTATTTACACATTTAACAATGGATGATAAATCATTGAAAGGGACAGCGAACAGTTGCTGTGATACCATTTTCTGATGTAGGAATCTAAATCTTGAAATTTCATGCGCTCTTTTATCTCACTACCTGGTCAACAGTAGCAGATTAGCGCATAACCTTTTGGCGGTTTGGAGCATGGGGTCAAATGAGAGCGGCTTGATTGCAGTCCTTCTCAATCACGTCCCTTGTTTAACGTTATCGAAATGATTCAGGTATGGTGCACTTAACCGCCGCAAAAACACACACACACAGCCGCCTTTAAAAAAAAAAACGTACAATGAATGTCAAGTGCGCGCATGCAACTAAGGACTTTCGCGGATTCACACTGAGCTCTATGTTACGATATATACACAGAATTGTAAAACTTAGTACACTTTATGTCATCATCATAATAAGGAAAATTAAAACATACCGCCGCGGTTTGCCACGTCATATTTGAACGATCCTTGAGAGTCATTAGGCCTACCATATAAATACAAGGTTGATGGTTCGCATTCTCATCCTGGGTGTGCGGATCAAATCGAGACCTGTGGGCCTATGTTCCTTGCGGATTCGTTCCTGGGGCATTGAGAAAGATAAGAACAAAAACCCGGGAAAAAAGGGAGAAAATGGGGAGTGAGTGGGAAATAAAGAGGTAGAGAGTTTTTTATATGATCTATGAAACGAAACCTTGGCAAAAAAGCCTGCAATGTTGGTCAATCTCAAATTATCAATTAAAAAACAAAAAACATGATATTTTAATTTGACCAAAATCCCGTTCGACCTACTATGCAGCGTTAAATTTATATTGAAATAACCGACTGTCATTATACAGCCCTTCGAAATAGATACACTATTCAATCGCAAATTGTTTAATCTTCCTTGAAATAACCTCAGGCTGTACTGTTCCTACTTACGCTATCATTTTCCATTATCAATTTTCGATTGACATCATTAGGTTCGACTTGCATAATGATAATTGAAAATGTTCAAAAGTGTGAAATGTGTAAAAAGTTAAGCAATCGCTAGTGACAATGTGCTTGGCATGCTTGATGTGGTATAATCGACCGAATAAAACAATTGAAAGATTGATAATGGCAAATATTTTAGTAATTAAAGGGCTTTATTTATGTTTACCTGCTCTACCATGAATTCTTTGGTAAACAGGGGCTTCTGCAGTTCGGCCTTGTTAACTTCGGCTACCTTGGTGATAACTTTTTCGGCCTTGTCGTATTTCCCCACGGAGATAAGCCATCTTGCAGACTCAGGTAGCCAGCTTCAAGAGTTGATGATACGTTGAGAAAAGGGATATTTTGAGGAAAAAGAGATCTGATGTAAGTTTAATTTCCAGCAATTTTATTGCAAAATTCAGGCAGAGGAAATATGTAACTTCAAAACCTGTTCCGTTCAATTCTTGTTGTTTTTTGCTATGTCATTTTCGTTTTTTTTTTTGGTTGGTTTTCCTTATGCTACAGGTAATTATGATATCGTTTTATCAACAATACATTCGAAGAATAGTTCATCGGAATTAAATCTGTATATATATGATTTTAGCAACCACAATGTATGATAGTTCCACTAATTATACGAGAAACATAATATCCTTTTTTTTTTTGGTAAAAGATTATATTGACAAAACATTCAATCAGTGGTGAATTTAAAAAGAAATATATTGAGAAACGGGAAACGAGTTGCACTTCATTGTAGAGGAAGTAAATGTACCTTTGCAGCCCCGCGTACTATACAATTGATGTTGTGTATTCATTTATTTATTTATCTATTTATTTATTCATTCGTGTTTTCTTTAAATGTAAAAATAGGTTAGCCTCATTTAGACGCCCGGAGTGTTTTTTTTTCAAGGGAACCCTGTTGTAAATATATTTTTATATATCTTTAAAAAATGTTGTCTTGGAAATTATCAAACTAAGTATCAACAATGCTAATACTTTATCGATACACCCAGCAATGTAAGAAAAAGGTACAAAACAAAATTGGTTCTTACATGAAAAATATGAATAGAAACAGGAGAGGCAACGTCATGGTTAGAGTTAGAAGCCGCCAGGAGCGAATGTAATAGGCCGGTAGAGCGAGAAACATGTAGCCGACAGCGTAGCTGATTGAGATAAGAATCACCAAGGATCGTTTTGATGGCCCAATATACTCCGTCCCTGTTGGACCCAAAGTAAAAGGAACATGACATGAACATATCGATAAATGTCCTCTTATTGACCTTATGCTCAATGTTTATGTTTATATTTACGATTTATCGACTCAATTACTCACATTGTGAGTAAATAACATGAATGAAGATACAATTTAAAATTCAAGGCGACGATAGCAAAAATTGGTCGATAACGGAAATCTTTTAATAAAGAAATAAATCACATAGAAGATAAATGATAGCATTGCCTGCTGTACAGCTCGGTCACAGGTCAGCAAAAATGAAAGACAAGGTTAAATAATGAAATGAAAAAAGAAATAGACTGTTATTTTGTTTGCCAGTGAGTAATATCAACATATTCTAATTGCAAAGTCGTTGATATTCGCCGGGAGTTATACAAATGTGGTTCAAATACTTTGACCTAAGGGAAAAGGGGAGACAACATGAGTGAGAGAAAGAAAGAGAGAGAGAGAGACGGGGCGAGAAAGAGAGGTGGGGTCCCAATGCGTGTTTAATTGGGTTTTTAAAGACGTGTATATTATTTAATAGTCAGATAGTGGATCATCACTCGACATACATGCCTATATAGAAAACACGTAAAGCCCTGATAATCTTTTCTCGTGCTTTTTCTACTATATTTATCGTTTCATTGCATATTTTTTGTAATATTATTATTCATTGTATTATGTTTTGCATGAGAAATACAAAATATATTCAAACAATCGTTTGAATTAATAATGCACACGGCATGTGACCTAAAGTGGTGTGGCAATATGCTCACCTATAACGAACAAAGTGATGTTGAAAGAAATGCTTCCAGAACCCATGAAGAAACGCATAGTGGCAAAGAACCACCAGTTGGGTGAAAAGACAATCGCAACTCCAGAAACAAGCGATACGAGGTTAGCGAGCAGGAGAGTCCACCAGCGTCCAATCCTGCAGCGAGAGAAAAAACACGACATAAGCATTACTTTCAATGCGTTTTATAAAAGACATACCAAATACTATAATCATCAACTACAAAATCTATCTAGTAGGTACTAACGACAATTCCACGAGTTCTATAGGGACTTTTAGATTTGCACGTCGACAGCTTTGACTGCAACGTGTGACGTCATTTTAAGGCACTGCGCATGCGTTGCGTCGTCTCAGTCGGCGATCGAGAATGCGTCAACCTTGATTTTCCTAAATCTAGTACATAAATACATACATATTGATATCTATATAGCGCCTTTACATGTTCAAGGTACTAGTACGCCGCGTGTGCATGAAGTATACAGTTCCTCCGGTAGACAAAAGAACACCCCTTCCCTGCTATTATGTAAAAATATGTAGAACAGGTGTCACATGCATATTCACCTGTTCTACACATTTTTACATAATAGCATTGAAGGAATGTTCTTTTGTTGAGGGTAGAATGAGGAACTGTATATTTTGTCCTCTTTCTTTGTCCGTGATGTTCATAGTGTCACTTCCTGCATGCATGTATATCGTCGAGTGCAATGTAAAAGATTTCTAATTGTAGTCAACATGGGCAGTTAAGTACGTTGACACGCATGATCAGTCGGCGTTCGTCGTGTTCTCGTCCATTCAATCTAAAAGTCCCTTATATGACTCTCCCACGAGTTCTTTACGACTATTTGGGGGGTAATTAGTATCTGTCTAACAATAAACATAATTATAATTATCAAACAGGAGGATCAAGGAACGTCAGAAATACTGGATGGAAATACAATTTTGTATGATGTAAAAAGTTTGATAGTTTCAGGAGGGGGAAATGCTTTCTGACAATATCTTTTGTAAATCTCTTTCCATGGCCACTATAACAAAAAAAACATGTTAAAGCATGGACCTCTGTGTTAAATCCATAGTTTCAGCATGGTTTTACAGACAATATTATACATGCTCTACGATAATATATACTTTTCTCTTTAATACGCTATTTACTATATACAGTACTTCATTCACGTCTTGAAAAATATTAGTCCACATAAGGAAACCACCTCCCGAAAGAATAACTTTACGAGATTTATTGTGTTCTTTCCAATTAATGTATAAGATACTCTACCAAAGTACCAAACTGTATGAGACAAGTATAAAGCAAGAATAATGTACAGTTTTTCAGCAAGACATGGGCATCTTTGTTGTCTTGATAATAGGGACTTTTAGATTTGTGTGGACTGATACGTGTGACGTCCATTCAAGGCAGTGCATTAAAAGGACGTCGACCGTAGCAATCCACATTGTCTTCGTGCGAATCTAAAAGTCCCTAATGTGGCGTACTATGCGAAGTCGTTTATCAACTGAATGTATTTAAATTTATGGATGCTTCTCTCCCAGGTGTGCGTGGTAATGACACCTGCTATCACCTTTTGCACTACAATTATCAGAACAAAACTTACGTAGACAAGCTGGTACTCTTTTGGGGTGAACCAGGTTTCGCATAAATGAAATAGATTTTTCAACTGCTGTATTTTAATATTTTCTTATAAATGATTTACAGTTGTTCCCCTGTGATATATTTTTCACCAAATATATTTCCCTGTCCCCCCCCCCCTCCCCCTCAGCTTTAATTTTCCCTCATTAAAATGTAAACGCTTTGTTATTGAATTAAAAAAAGTTTCCTTTAACCTTTCTCGACCCACGTGTTAACGGATATGTGGCAACCGCTTGGGTAATGATAATTGTAGGTCCATCAGGAAGAAGAGCATTGAAGCCGAGTAGGCTCCCCTTGGTAGATAGAATTTTTCTTCTTTTTTTTCTATCAAAACTTTTTCGTGTAAAATGATTACTTACACGTCAGATAGGATACCAAAGAAGATAGATCCTGCTAAGAATCCCCCGTAGTATATAGATTGAGATACTTGGGTAAGTTCACCATTGCCACATACAAGATCAAACTGTACGGCACAGAGAGAGAAGGGTGAGAAAGATAGAGAGAGAGAGAGAGAGAGAGAGTGAAGAGAAACAAAGAAAACGAACGAAAACATGCAGACAGATAGGTAAAGGGGCATAGAAGGTCGGATAGGTAGATAGATTGGTAGATGTATTTATATAACATCATAAACAATAACAATGAGTATAATAATAATGATACAAATAAAAATGGTAATGATAAAAGCACCTGCAATAACAATATTGTAATGTAATAATTATACCTCTAATGACATTATATACAGGAATGCTTAGATAGGTAAACTAAGATACCAACGCGTATGTGCGCTTTGTGCGTGTTGTGGGAGAGAACAAATAAGCAAGGTTAGGCAATGATCTAGTCTCGGAAAACACTTCTATTCCAACAATATATATATATTTTTATCGGATCTTTATATGGTTAACACCTTGCAGGGATATTTGCGTACCCAGTTGGTTTAAGGACGAAATCCTGTAATCTATTAAAGCAAATACTCATGACTTGTCTGACCGAAACACACATAATGGACTTTGTGATGGCATGTTAGCATTGTGCTAAAGAAGTTATCCAGTAAATTATACTACTACCATTACTTTGTAATAAATATAATTTATGCACACTGATGAACTAAAACAAATCATTACGTAATTGCAATTTAAAACAAACTATTGTTATTCTTCATTCATCGATTCGTACCTTTTGCAAAATCCGATTATTACAAAAAAATATTTTATGTAAGAATTGCCAACGATTGGAACGTGCATGCAATGTAATAAATAGTGCAACTTTCTATGCTTATAAAACCTCACTAAAGACCCATCTCTATAATATATAAAAAGATATTGATATAAAATAATATTATTATTTGTCTCTCATAAGATATTCATATAGTCAGTTTTCCATTCGTAAACTCATAATCTGTTTGAAATAATAATACCTAATAATGACACCTTCGTACAATTTAATACTCAAATCTCTGATAATTTTTTAAAATAATTTGCTGGCACCAGCTTAAAGTTTGCATGCTATAACTTTCTATTGTGTGTTTTTACTATTTTACCCATGTATTTCTTTGTTTTTATCTTGGTTGTATGATCATCTATCTCGTTATATTCGATTACTATTAGCCTATCATTTAATTGGGTCACAGCCCTGTATGGGGTTTTCAAACCTTTTTGCTGCATCCCGAGACATGTTTTGTTTTTACTGAATGTCTGAATAAATACAATACAATACAACCAATATAACTGAAATTAAACATACTTCTGTATTGCACAAATAAGCAGAGAACTGTCACCTGGAGATTATTGTAACATACGGGAGTGTATTCATTTATTGTTCAATTTGATTAATATATTCAAATATTGATAAAAGATGTGAACGGGGGAGGAATTATGTATAATGTAAGATCTTACTTCCGTCACTGTCGTCGTCTTGTATTGGCTGTCATCGTACACCCAGCCACTGTCACATGACATCGTTTCGCTGCTGTAATTGGATGGATCAATCCCAGGCCAGAATCCCACTCCGGACACGTTATATTTTTCACATTGTGCGTACTCCAGCTCACCATCTGACGTGTAGTTTGATGGGATGCTACCTTCCTTCTGGGCTAGTGCGCAGGCTTCATCTGAAAACCCATACTGCTCACATCCAGGAGTCCATTCGGGGGTCTAGATAATATACATATTTTGTCAAAGAACAACTTTGTATATTTATCAAATATATATTTTGTTTAGCCTAAAAATTATCCAAATCGTATTTGAAAAAATGCATCCTGCTTGTGAATGACTTTTCCTTATGTGTTATAATAATTGTTAAAATAATACCATAATTGCAGGGATATACCATAAACATACCTTTAGATGTATGTTTTGTGATATTATGTATTCACTTGGTTGGATGTCATTTGGTTAATTATATTTGTATTATTGTCGCCTTAAATCTTAATTTTCTTTATGTTCTTTACACATTTGGTTAATTTCCCTACCGCAGCACCCGCTCTAAAAACAGGCCTTTACATATTATTTTTCTTTTAATGGATCGAATGTTTGTTTCAGAACCAATCAATCCATTTTGCCTACTTTTGTTTCTACACCCGGTATATTCAGTCGGCACAAAGTCTAAATAATCATCGAATCATCATTAAAGATAAAGTTGAGTTCTGGTCATGCGATTGCATTCTGAAAGAAACGTTATGGAATCGATCAGAAAAGGTTGATTATCTATCATATAGGTAATGGTGTGTACTGCAAGGTTCTTGAATCATCAAAATGATAAGAAATTTGGCCAGGTCTTGACAAAGTTACAAGCAATGTACACAGAAAGATGTATATGGGACTACACGAACACGTGGCATAAAAATCCGTCCCGGTTTTTTGATGTTACATTCCACATTTAGAATATTAAGGCATTTGAAGAGCCAGGCTTTACAGTGAACATTTTGTATCTGATGTTCTTCCACACTTGTATAATACAATGATACCGCTCACAATTTGTGTTCACCTCTTCCAAGAACTTAACCTTCGCTGTCTGATAATCTATAATGATTGCCAGCAAATAGTTATGACCTTTGATCCAATAAGTACAATTGGTGTCTGACCGTTTGGCCATGATACGTTTTGGCTAGCATTACATGGTTTACACCTACTACGTTTAATGCTCAATCAGCTCTGGCATTATTTCGTTCATATTCCAGTTTACTTCCATTTCGCCTAATTAATTGTTGTCATCTAGTAATCACATAGATAATGGAACAAACCGAAGTAATAAAAGAAACGAACGTTAGAGGAAACAGTATTTTTACAAAAAATTAATGACCTTAGACTAATCGGTCGGTAGATTAAACAATTATTCTGACTCTTATTGAATCAAATGATGAGTATTCCTTTTCAGTTCTGACAGTTAGTGTAATGACTAGAGGGGGGATAAGAGACGAATTTCGCCGGGTTTAGAAGATATAGTTGACCGCCGGTTTTATCCAGAGGACCAATAATGAAGTGTAATTTCTATAAAAAAAATTCCATATTTTTCCATATTTTTCCCTCCACAGGGATTTTATTGATTTTCATTTGAAAGACATACAAAAATATATTTTCAAGGTAATTTACATTTATAACATAAATGAAATTGGCTTTTAAAAATACAAGTATTGTTGAACTGTTGAGAAAACTAACAAATCAATAATTCATTTCTAAAAATTGATAACAAACTATTGAATTCAAACAAGTCTTTTATCTATATTACAGAAAATTACCTTAATTTTAGTTTGGCCACTCGTTAATATCATTCGGCTCTGATGTTCACAATTCGATAGCAAATACAATACAATGAATACATACAATTTACAGTTAACAATTAAATTATTCATACCCTTTAAATATTAAGTTTTGTAATTTTTTATGTATATTAAAAGTTGATTTGTCTCGATTTATGTTTCTTGACGAGTTGACGTAGTAAACCTTACATCTGAAAGTATTCAACAAGGGCCTTAATTCAGCCAGTCTACTTTCATTCTTGAGTTATGAAGAAAAAAAACACATTCGACATTTACAACTCGTTTAAATAATTTATTTGCTAACTGTATGTTAATTTCTATCTTGGCAAATAGAAATTCTATGCCAATTAAAGTATGCCTTATGCACATTTCCAGCTCGAAAAGCATTTAAAATAGAAGACTGTAACAGAATGATTGATTTTGCCCGTTGGACAGTATCGTTGTTCGTGTTTCTGAATGATCTTACCGCACACCAGTGGTCGACGGGGGCATTGATGAAGACCGATAACAATGTCGCCCAGGAACCGGTGAACTTAAATATCAACGAGATCAAGTAGACACGGCGTTGATAGGGCCCAAACTCACCAACATTCTTTAAAATGTCGTCAAACTTCATCTCAGTTCAAAAGTAAGCACGGGAACCGTGAAGAACGTTGGATTTTAAGAAGCTACAGTGGAAGTATGTCCTTCTCTAGACGTTGGTCAGTACGTTTGTAGCTAGAAAATAATTTGTTATATATTCTTGTCTTATCTGCTATACTATTGTCTTATCTAAAAGTGTTGACAATTCGTTAAGTTTGACCTCAAACATATCAGACGTTCTGAATGATGTAAAGATGCATCTTTTCTCTTAATCAGAAGCTGATATTAAGCTATTCATTTATTTACTGTGTGTGTGTGTTCGTGTGTTAGTGTGTACAAGGGGGGGGGGTGCACAATGTCATACATGATTTAGAAAAGTGTAGAATATTGGATTATCTATCAGTAGGATGTCGTGCCTGTTTTTCTGTTCGGATATTTCACATGAACAAAAATTAAAGCAGTACTTTTTCCGTATGAATAATTTGACTTTGCCTGTAAACACCCCCCCCCCCCAACTCTCCCTTCCCCTCTCCCTCTATCTCTCTCTCTCTTGCTCTCTGACTGTTTGCCTCTCTGTCTGTCTGTCCTCTCCCTATTTCTCTCTCTCTTTCTCTCTTTCTCTCTCTCTGTCTCAGCCTTTCTCTCTCTCAGTCTCTCCCTCTTTATATCTATCTCGCTGTCTCTCCTGATAACTATACTTTTTAATATTCATGCCATTTGAATAGTCCATAAAATTTAATAAACCAATGAAAACATACATCGTTTGTTTTATACAAAAACTATTCTAGATCCTTGTTCTTTGATGTAGAAAAATATAATTTTAAGATTGCTTCCTGTCATTTAAACTGACAAAATATAAATTCAAATTTTGATAGGCTTTATTTTAGAGCGCGTACATAGATAAACTTGTATCAAAGCGCTGTGCAGCACATGTATTTATCCTTAGACAAGCGCATTAACCTCTACATGCACTGCTGCTGGGCATTGCGTACTTAAAACTCATTGGATAGAACCATGGATAGAACTCACTTTTTCATGAAACACGTGTGGTAGTCTTAATAAATAAATCACAAGAGACTGCGTTTGACAAATCAGTTGATTAGGATCGAGGAATTATAGTATAATATCATTCAACCATCATTATTTTTACTTGCCAAATAGAACAACTTGTTGTAAAGGCATTACACTTTTATCGGCTTTTTAAAGGATTTAACGATGTGCAAATATGAGTAGACGTTGGTAAGAAGTCCTTGATTTCCTTTTATGAATTATTGACAGTGTATAGTAATTAACAGACGGAGACATCAGACAAACAAACAAATGACGAAACAATTGTGCTCTTTGCCATTATAAACGGTTGATAAACGGGTGATAACCTCCGTACAAAGAGGGCATGAATGGACTGAGAAATAGAAGCTTCAGCAAGATTTCTTTAAAAGTTTAAAAGAAGAAAAAAAATGGTGTATAAAGAGTGATCAGCAGGTTATGTGAGGTAGTCACTGTAATAATATATTTACAATGCCATTTTACAATAGTTAACAAATGATCAATAATATCCTAGGAAAGATTAAAGAGGGGCAGATTTGGATACGAAGAGGGATGGAAGATCGAGAAAGAGGTAAAGGAAATAAGATTATTACTGTGTAGATGAGAGCGAGAGAGCGAGAAAGAGAGAAAGAGAGAGGGAGAGAGAGAGAGAGAGAGAGAGAGGAATGGAAGAATATTGGATCTACAGGTATCCAGTATAATATAATAAAGCATCTTTGTAAATTCCCGTATGAAATTCGACTAAGTAATGTGCATATTGTACGATGAATATAATGCATGTTTATTGAATAACATAATTATGTGAATTGCACGCTATACACAAAAATATAACATTTATATTGTTATATCTATAGCCATATCTTATATTCAAAATTATTTCCCTCTACATCGTGTCACTGCGTATTTAGTCAACCTTGAAAGCTGTCTCACTTTTGACTTTATTATAAATTATTCATCTAAATAAATTTCGGTAAAAAGATAAAACATCAACCTGATACCGGACGGCAAATATTAATAAATAATGCGTAGTCAGATTAAAGGCAACAAAAAAAATGTTTGTAAAGGGCCTGCAGGACCTATTCCCGAAACATGTCGCCTAGATCTGTTCATTCAGTGAATGACCCTTGATCCAAGTCATCGTGAAGTTCATTATTAATTGCTTTCTTGACAACATATTGGAATTCAGAATACCAAAGTAGCAGAGAAGTCCTTTATGCGCGTATGTTTCGCATAACTTCAGCTATGTTTAAGCTTGACGTAAGAGTATGTAAGTGATTTGGTTCCCTTCCAGAGGAGTGTCTTTGCCATTACGTTTTTAACAAATATGGGAAACCCGTCAAAAAACGGTTTTAAGTGGTAATTCTCCATAAATGTATGATGCTATTCTCCTGCAGCTTGAAAAGTAAAAATATTTCCATTTAAAAACCGTTAAACCAGTACATGGTAAACGGACGCAGAGGTCAATGGAAAAGCGTCGCCTCTAAACTGCTAAAGGACATGCGATGTTGGCCGGCATTTTAAGAACGAGCCTGTTTCTTTTGATTGAGGTTATGAACAAAATGTGCCGTGACAAAATCAAATAAATGAACATTATGGGTAAAGAGCAGTCTCACCCCGACCAATATCATCAAGGATGCCTCGATGCAATTTCTTCTATTACGGTTACTGCTCGATCGACAACGAATAATGTTGTTTCAAAAGAACAATGAGCGCATGCCTGCCTGGATACGTGACTTTAAAATACATGCTCAAGTATCTGGTTCGTTCCTTTTCAACATTAAAATGTTGGATTTTACATTGTTGTATGACCTTATAACTCGAAGTCCGTCAATCGTGGGTAATGCACGTTTTTAAAAAGAGAGCAAGTTTGATTCAATATCGTGCAAAGAATTCTTAAAGGTTAACATGCTGACTAGAGCATGCATGAACTATTATTCCTTACACCTTCTCTGATATCGATTTTGTTTAGATATATTGATAAATATTTTCAATGAAACATTTAGTACAGACATATTATTCAATTCGAGCGTCATTCAAAATTAAAATAAAACTAGACATTGAATTCGTCACGGAGATGAATTAGGTGATATGACGCCTTGATCGAGATATTATAACACGTGTAGAAACTCAATGGGAGATTTGGTCTTTAAAAAAAGGAACACCCTCCATTTATATAACACGCCCACGTAATAGCTCATTAGAAGATTTTCTACACTGCGCGGCCGATCATCTGATTTAGTTATTTTAAATTATTTATTTATTTCTTATATTTAGACAGGGTGACTCATTATCACCAATAATGGTGGTCTTCCGTGAGACCCTGTTAAAAATAATAAGGAACAACAGTAATAATAAAATCATGAACATAAACTCATAACTAATAACTCAAAACAAAATCGACCGAGTCAAACAGAAATTCAGTCTCTGAAAAAAAAATCCCACCCTTCATTTATAATGCGGTGACTTGTCGGTTACGAACGACAGGCTTCGATATCTACTCAATCTATCAAACAATACGAAATCAAGCTGTAGTAAATACACAGACAAGAAAGTTTAAAAAAAAGGAGATGCCATAATAAAATCATTGGCGATGATTCAAAATTTGGATTGTTAAAAAATCCAGCAACGTGTTCTGAGGTCATATTTATTGCAATTTTAGAAAGTTTTATCTACCAGCGTGTTTTGAACACTTTGTTCAATTGAAATGTGCGTGTGATATCTGTGTTAGGTATATTAAAGATCTACGCTATTTCTTATACATTTTTAGGGGAAAGGGGGATGGTGTGAGACAAGCTAGAAGGGTAAAGGGAACCATGCATCTCTCGCATCATTTGATTGCGTTTGAGAAATTGTCATTTCTGTTAATATGATTTAGGTTTGTTTTCATTTGTAACGACTACATCATTGATTGTATGATCTATTTCATATTACAATGACAGGATTATGCTTTGTTCTTTCTAAAGATATCATTGTGGAAATAGAACCTACTGTGCTTTTACACATGTATCAAATTTAAGCTGTTACTTTTATACATAAGCATTATTATTTCAAGTCTTATGTTATATAATTTTGCACAATTGTGTGTCGTAATTGTGCAAATAATGTTTTCGATTTTGTCTGTTGAGATATAAAAAAATAATAGAACACAGCCACTGTGAAAAGGGCAACTCTTTTTGCAAGCACAATGTGTGTGTGTGTGTGTGTGTGTGTTTGTGCGCGAACGTGTGTGCGTGTGTGGGTTTGTAAGACGTGTGAAACGGTGATAATCATATGTATACATAACATCCAAGTGGGATACACTGGCAACTGTGGATATCCCCGGTTGATAACTTTCGTATTTTTTTTCCAATTTTGGTAAAAGTGACCCGAGAGGAGTCTACTACCCATTGCCATCAAGAGTTCCAAGACATCCACATTTTCATAGTAAGACGCCACAATTCCGAACGCTACTTTGTGTATCATCTGAGATCTTAAAACTCTGATAAATAACCAGCGCCAAGTATTAAAGATGAAGTTGAGTTCTGGTCATGCGATTGCATTGTGAAAGAAACGGTGTGGAACCGACCAGAAAAGGTTGATCATCTAGCATATAAGAATTTGTGTGTATTGCAAGGTTCTGGAATCATCAAAATGATAAGAGATTTGGCCAAGTCTTAGTAAAGTTACAAACACTGTACAGAGAAATATGTATATGGGACTACACGAACACGAGGCGTAAAAAGCCGGCCCCCGATTTTTACGATGTTACATGCATAATTAGAATATGAAGGCATTTGAAGAGCCATGCTTTTCAGGGAACATGTCTTATCTGATGTCCTTCCACACTTGCATAATAAGAATGAGTAACGCTCACAAATTATTTTTCACCTCTTCCCAGAACTCAATCTTCTCTTTAAAGCTCATACATAAAAACAGGAGGCTAAATTCTTGTTATTCTTTGACAAAATGTAATTTTATTCATTCATCTGGCGGTCAGATAAATGAATGAAAACACATTTTGTCAAAGGAAAGGAATCTTTAGTAAAAAAAAAAAAAAAACACCTC